AACCCAATCAAAAAGTTCAAGCATTTAGAGGAGAGAGTTTTTTCCCCTTTCTCCCCCATAAAAATTATGTCTTCAACAAGTGGAATCAATGTGACAACATTTGGTTTTGCTATATGTTTAATTTTTTGTACCATGTTGTCATTTTCTGTTGTAACTTACAAAAAGTTACTGATATGCAACAACAAAACTGCAGGCTTATGGGCATAAAATTCTCACTGGAAGGAGGTCTAAAATGCACACAATTAGGAAGACATCTGGGCTTGCAGGCTTCCCCAAAAGAGAGGAGAGTGTCTATGATGCTTTTGGTGCAGGCCATAGTTCAACAAGCATCTCTGCTGGACTCGGTGAATTTTCATTGATACTTCACAATTCGAAATTCTGCTACTTTTGTTAATGGCATATCCGGTAGCACTCGACAGTATTAAAGAAGAAAAAGAAATTAAAAGCATTTCCATTGTACTTTTCAGTACTATGTCAAATGTGCACTAAATGTAATTTCCATGGAGAGAATTAATTATTGAAATTTTACATTGTTAGGCATGGCGGTGGCAAGAGATTTGTTGGGGAAGGACGACAGCGTCATTTCTGTTATTGGAGACGGAGGGATGACTGCAGGACAAGCATATGAGGCGTTGAACAATGCAGGATTTCTTGACACTAACCTTATTGTTGTACTGAATGACAACAAGCAAGTTTCGTTGCCCACAGCTACACTTGATGGCCCAGCCACACCTGTTGGCGCCCTCAGTCGAGCTTTAAGCAAGCTCCAAGCGAGTCCTAAGTTTAGACAACTTCGAGAAGCTGCAAAAGTAAATCGATCTTCATTAATAGTTTCTCTATCAAACTGTTGAATTCAAGAGAGATCTAATGGAAATTTCATGTCTAAGCAGGGCATTACAAGGCAAATCGGACCACAAGCACATGAAGTCGCAGCAAAATTTGATGAGTATGCAAGGGGTATGATAAGTGCTTCCAGTTCTACTTTCTTTGAGGAGCTCGGATTATATTACATCGGCCCAGTGGACGGGCATAATATCAATGATCTGGTTACTATATTCCGAAAAGTAAAGACAATGCCAGCTCCAGGGCCAGTTCTAATTCATATTATAACCGAGAAGGGAAAAGGCTATCCCCCGGCCGAGGCAGCGGCTGATAGAATGCACGGTGAGATTATAATGAATCGTGAAGCAAGAAACAAATAATACAACTAGATTCGCTTTGAAGAATACTAACTACATTCTTGTGTCCACATGTTTCCAGGAGTCGTTAAATTTGATCCCAATACAGGAAAGCAGATGAAGGCGAAAACCCCTACACTTACTTATACTCAATACTTCGCTGAGTCATTGATAAAAGAAGCTGAAGCAGACAATAGGATTGTGGCCATTCATGCAGCAATGGGTGGTGGAACTGGTCTAAATTATTTCCAGAAGAGGTTCCCTGAACGATGTTTTGATGTAGGTATTGCTGAACAACATGCTGTTACATTTGCAGCTGGTTTAGCCACCGAGGGTCTCAAGCCATTCTGTGCCATTTATTCGTCCTTTCTACAACGAGGTTATGATCAGGTGAGAAACAGCTATCCCTCTCACACGGAGGGCAGATTCGTTAGGCCTAATACGTCCACGAATTTCATAAGGCGATGGTTTTAACGATAAAAAATAAAAAAAATTCAATGTACATGTAGGTGGTACATGACGTCGATCTTCAAAAGTTACCTGTCCGGTTTGCAATGGATCGAGCTGGTTTAGTTGGTGCAGATGGACCGACCCATTGTGGGGCATTTGACGTGGCATACATGGCTTGTTTGCCCAACATGATAGTCATGGCTCCGTCAGACGAAGCAGAACTTATGCACGTGGTTGCAACAGCAGCAGCCATAGACGACAGACCAAGCTGCTTCAGATTTCCACGTGGTAATGGCGTAGGAGCAGTTCTTCCTCCTGATTACAAAGGGACTCCACTTGAGGTGAGCACTAGGATTTCCTACCATGGAAATAATCTTAAGCAATCAAGAAGATATCACAATCTCATTGAGAACGTGTAAATATTTCCATATCTTAAAATCGAGCGTTCCACAGATTGGGAAGGGAAGGATACTAAGAGAAGGCAATAGAGTTGCAATTCTTGGATTTGGTTCAATAGTCCAGCAATGTCTAGGAGCCGCGGAAATGCTGAAATTCCATAACATATCACCAACAATAGCTGATGCAAGATTCTGCAAACCGTTGGATGCTGATCTTATCAGAAGACTAGCCAAAGAGCACGAAATCTTAATCACAGTCGAAGAAGGTTCAATTGGTGGTTTTGGATCCCATATCTCACATTTCCTAAGCCTACATGGCATTTTGGACGGACCACTCAAGGTAAATAAAATTTTTTCTGCTTGTGCAGTTTATTTTGGGTTAACCATCTCATTTAAAATTTTAAGTTGATAGAGAAGAGTCACATATTCATTTAATTATCTTCAACATGCTCTTGTCTAAAAGCTAAGCTATTATAGAGGACTCAAAACATATTCATTTAAACGTCGTCTTTAACGTGTCCTTCACTTGTAACTAGGTCATTTCATCTAAAAGTTTAAATTTTTAGAGAAGAGTCGAGTTGCACTTATTCATTTAAGCATAATCTTCAACTGTGTTCAATTAGTCTTCGAGTTCTAATGGAATATTTATGATTAAGTGCAGCTGAGATCAATGGTACTTCCTGATAGATACATTGACCATGGTGCACCTCAAGATCAGATTGAAGAAGCAGGTCTCTCTTCAAGACATATTTGTGCTACGGTTTTATCACTTCTGGGAATGCCCAAAGAGATTGTAAATTTCGTATAAATATATTGAATGTGTGTTAGTAGTATGGAAGCTAGAGGGACCTCAATAAGACGATGAATTTTCTTTAATAACGTTTAGAAGTATAAGTTACAAGTGTGTAGTCACTCTAAAAAGTGTTCTCTTGTACCATGAACTATTTGTTTAGTGCGTCTATACTGTCGCTCTCCGAAAATCTAAATCTGACCAAAATTTCTCTTTTTTAGAGATGAAGTTCGGATTAGTTATAAGTGAACAAATATTATCATTGTTCATGCACCATTGGAGGGTGGGCCGTATTCTTTTATATTTTCAATTATTTCAAAATTACACTTATTCGCTCATGTTTGAGTGACATTAAAATTTTTATTCTCATTTTTCTATTTATTTTCTATAAAATAATATTTTTCATTACATCAATAACTTTTCCTTTTTTTTCAATCATACATTCTCCATCAATCTATTATTCCAAAATACATTATTCCAAAATAATGTGGCTCAAACACACCTGAAATATTAATAGTTATCCTTGCATTTTCACAAAAATAAAGTTCTACCTCTGATTTTTGTAAGAGTTTCTTACGGAAGATACACTACTGATCTAGATTCCTCTAAAAATTCTTTTAATCTAGCGATGTACTTTCAAAAACATTATTTTGATAGACCCAAGAACAACTTTTTAGTTTCAGAAAATGGCAAACAGGTATCTATCTGTAAAAAGGCACGTAGCTTAGAGATCGGAGTCCCCTTGTTCCATACATCCCACTAAAGCCCATTAGAGGACAAATTGCACTGTAGGTATCCTATCAATGGCCACTGTGGCAAATTGGTTTAAAAATTTTCATTTTGGACAACTTTTTTCACTCTCTCCCCGATGAACTGTTTCCTACATCGACATTTAAATGAGCCCATGAAAGAGTAGTTGCGACCGTCTTTTGAAGAAAGCAACCCCGCAAAATAATTACGACCATCTTACGGAGAAAACATGTACTTAAATAATATTTAGTCATATGAGTTTGAGCAACCATGTTACATGTAGATATAGTGAAGACGATAGCTTGCAAGAATGTAGCTCACATGATTAACCCATGTCTTTAGTTCCTCAACATGCACTAAATGATAATAGAAACTAGAAATATCAACAATTAAGTAAATATGAGCAATGGAGACAGTAGAAATGTGTTATGGCTAATGTTAAATATCTCAATTGCCACTAAATTTCTTCAATTATTTCTCAAATACCACTGAACTTTAAGAGTTCTCCGGGTTGTCATTGAACTTTCTAAAATGTTTTAAAGTTGCCACTAAACTTTGAAAGTTCTTTGAATTGCCACTGATCTTCCAAATTGTTATCTTATTCACTACCCTATCACTCGCCATTTTAAAAGTTAATGATTAAATGTCATGGTTTGACGGAATGACAAATGATAGAAACTTCGGTAACTTTCAAAACGACAACTAAATGAAGTGACGGATTAAATAACATTTTCGTGAGCTTAATCAATAACATCTCGAAGAACTTTTAAAATCAACTACAACCAAAAAAACAGTAGAGAAAGTTAAATGACAATATAAATATTTAACCCCTTATGACTAGCCTTCCATATTAAGTGGAGGGTCAGCGAGCTATGATTTTGACGCTATAATGGGGCTCTCACCCACACAGTTGGGAGTCGAGAATTGTTGTCCCCATTTAGCAGTCCAGTAACCATTTCTCCAATATATGTTTAACATCTCAACACGTCATCTCTTGTTACCTAATGGGAAGTACAATTTCGAATGTCATGTTACTTGGGGTGTAATCTGTTCGCATATTCCCATTGGTTAAAAAGAACTTCAGATGCTAAAGCAACAAGTTTAAACTCCATTGCAACTCATGATTAATACGTTTTTGAATAAAGTGGCGTTGAATAAATCACATGGCATATTTGCGATCGAGAACCATTACCGGTTGAATTTAACAAGCATTACAAAGTATTTACAGCATTTTATAATAATCTAAAACCTCAAGAAAGTAACTTCCCTGTGTTGATAGAAGCTGTGTATGCTTACAGGTGCAAAGCATTACACTTAACACGGGAAAATACCCCTTTAACCAATGATTATAGTCTATACAATCAAAAAGCATAGGATGGATATTTACCACGAGGAAATGGTGTTTTCAAGGATGATTATAGAGCCAGTAACTAATTACTTTGAAATAAAGGCTTGAAGCAGGCTCTGGGCAATCTGGATTTGCTCGGGTGATCCAGATATGATTACCTTCCCTTTATCATCTCCAGCACAAGGATCTAGTAGTCTAACAGTTGCACCCGAGATCTGGTAAGAGCAAATCCGACAACAAAATGACATCAAAACAATGATTGTCTGAATTATATAATACAAACTGTAAGGTGTTTAACAACTCAACTGGTGTTGAAATTTATGAGATGTCAAAATGCCACTTAAGAAATAAATGAGACAGATGACTTGATACCAAAGTAAAAACTGTACAACAGAAGCAAATTTTCTGTCCAGGTAAAGAATAACCCATACTGAGAAGCACATTTGCCTAAGCTTAGAAGTAAGTAAAAGTTACATTTAAGTTTTTTACTTTTAACTCCAAACATGTTTGGATAAGTTAATCATTACTTTTGAGCAAAAAATGTTTAGCTTGAAAATAACTCTTACCATAGTGTTAAAACAAGTAACTTAATTCCAAATTTAACCCATAAAAGAATTTTTTATTTTAAAACTTATTTACTTATAAGTAAACCTTCTAAGCTTAGCCAAACATGCTCAAAGTCTGGTCTGAATTCCCCCATGCTTCCCGGCAACAGATGTATAGGGGAACTTGATTTTGCTTATCATATCTTCTCTTCAAGATTCAACACTTGTGGCTATTTCTCTAATTCTTCCAATGGCTTGCTTTTGAACCATAGTTTACCAATTACTGATCAGTTTTTATTAGACACTTCCAGCTTTAATCCTCTGCATTCTTCCGATTAGTAGAGAATCTCCATTGAAAACAATCACCAAAGAAATTATAGAAATACTGAGAGTAAGGCTAATTCTAGAGGTACAAAGCTTATATCATATATGGACGCTCGTTCCTATCTCACAAATATAAGAGCCGGGTACAAAAAATCAATACCATTTAAGCTGCATAAAACTAACGGAAACTTAATCATCCAAGTTTTGAATTGAACTAGCGAAATGTTTTACTTTAAAAGAAATTTAAAATTGTTCACCATGTACATACATCTATCAATTCTCATTCCACATTTGAATCCCATTGTAAAACCATTTTACTTTCCTTTTACTTGGAAAAAAATAAACACAGAGTCAAACTGGTAACTTCAAGGTTAATAAATCGGCAGGACCATATAAATGAAAGAAATAGGTTGGAAGTTTTAAGACTGTATACCTCTTTTAGGAGTATAAGATTGCTTCCATCGTCACCATAGACAAAACGAAAAACATCACGTGGAATCATAACCTCCACAGTTTTATATGGTATTGCATCTGCATCGTTACTGCATAAGCCATTGAAATTGTAAAGAAATAGAAATAAACGTCTGAAAATATCACTTTTTTTCAGGAAAGAGCCAAGAAGAGCTTCAGTATAACACAAGAAGTTGGTGAAAAATGTAAAAAATAAAAAACTAAATCAACATCTTTCAACAAATCTTTGCATTAACTAAATAATAATTTACTCAATTTCGTCTAACACTCAAGTGATCACATTAAAAATAGCAAGATGAAAACATCTGAGTATATCATCACCTATGTTACTTGGATTTGAGTGCACATGTCTAGTCATAAGTACATATAAAGGAGTCAGATTCAATTTTATTTATTTATTTATTTTTGCTAAATTCTACGAAAAAGAAGGATCCAAAATTTAGAATTGGATACCTGGTTACATAAACATAAAATCTATATACTAATAGTTTGAAATGCATTCAGTAGACCAGGTTTTCTTAAAATAGCAATTCATGCTTTAGAATCACAACTTAAGCTTTAGAAATCACAATTGATTTTCTTAAAAGAGTAATGCTATGTAGCATGACTAGTGCAACCTAGGTGGCATTAATTCTTAGGTTCCATATAGAAATATGGGTCCCATTTAAAATTACCTATCAATGAATGCCACTTGGACAAGTATATAGCACCTACATGGTATTAATCTTCTTAAAATATCCATTCATGCTTTAAGGCTTTAGAAATTGCAATTGATGCTTTGAAAATTGCTATTTTTGCTTTAAATTAAAAGTTGTGGGGTCAGGCATTAGGGCTTCTTTTCCTGCAACCGTTATCTTCCTTCAACTTTAGCTTCCACCAATGGTGCCTTTATCATACCATCTTCAAATTTGAAGAATATGAGCCGAATACCCGAGTTGTACTCGTGTTGACACAATAATTCTTCCATTTTTGAAAGTTTGAGCATCACATATCCTAACTGAAAATAATATCCAATTCAGTTGATATGTAATGCTCAAACTCTCCAAAATGGATGAAGTACCAGCACTAACATGAAAAGGAAAAGGGTAACGGATCCAGCAAGGGGTAATAACTATTGGCAGAAGTTGAAGTTGCAAGAAGAGAAAGGTTATTGGAAAGGAAACCCTAATTGCAAGACCTAGCCTGCAACTTTCAACTTAAAGCATCAGTAGCGATTTAAAGCATCAACTTCTACTTCTAAGAAAATCTATTGCTTTTCTCAAGGCTTCAATTGTTGTTTTGAATGAAATATGATCCCACAATTTGTAAAGCGTTAGAAATGATTTGAAGGTAGTTAACGACAAAAATTCTTAACCAATTTCGATTTCCAAAGCGAAAATTGAGATTTTTGAATCATTAATTGTTGTTTTTAAAGAAAACAAAGCTCATTAAATGCATTTAAAACTATTGTAAATAAATTTTATGTTAGAAAGATGTATCCACCTACCCATATCCAAATTTTGGATCATTTGTTGCGTGCATATCCTAGAATTTAGAGTGGGGTGGGGTGGGGGGGGGGGGGAATCATCTTCAGGTCTTGTGACATTTTTTCTGGTTTTAGCCTGTTATCATAGGACCACGTCAACAATGAATACTCAAATAGAGAATTTGATGTGTGAAGAATGAAGAAGATTGATAATTATAAAGCTAAAACAGAGAGATCCATACGTTTTTTTGTTGTGAACCTGTTGACAGAGGATGGCTTGACTTATGTACAAATATAAGGTAATCTAGTTGATTAACAGAAGACAGTCTTGATAATTGTTCTGGTTGAGACGAGGAGTCTATTACCCCTCCATTAGAACTGCTGCATGCCGTAGCAGAATCTGACGAGCGCATGCGTTCAGATCCATTGAAACCAATTCTGGGAAAGTAGTTCTCCCTAAGCCTGCCAGTAACTTGAAACAGGGCGCTTTTAACATTTTCATACTCGCCCATAATCTGTAGAAGGAAAAACCATCGTGAATTCAAAGTAGTAGTCAATCAAGGTCATTGTATTTAAAAATTGAAACAAAACCAATAGTCTCCAACTGCCTAAGGAAGTCTATTGGACTCCTATTACCACCTAAAATCTATCATATCATGCCAACTCTCAATATGGATTGCTACCACTTCCCCAGGGAGTAACATTGATGTATGTTATTGTAAATTTTAAGAACAATAAGGATGAAAACTTAATACAAACACTAAGATTTACAATCAATTAAAAGTAACTTCTTTTTCCTCTTAGAACGACTCATAGTAACTAACGTTGTAAAATGATTAGAAGGTCAAACGGGGTACACAAACTGGAACAAAGGAAACATCTACTGCTTCTAGAATTATAAGACAAATAGAAACTTTTTCTAAACAAAAATGGCCAGATATCAGTGAATCAATAACCTAAACAAGAACGCGTGGATGGATAGACCTTTCCTTAAATGAGATTCAGTAAGCAGAGATGGCCGTGGTCAATATTAAAAAGCTTTGAAATTTTATCTCAGAAAATTTGGCTTACTGAAAGTCTAAAAAAAAAGTGGGAGTTACAGCCGACAAGAAGCTATATTTGATGCTCTGCTCTACTTTGATCAAATTAGTTCCAAGAAGCAGACTATAATGATGGATTTCAAAAAGGCTTGGTGAATTATGAGAGCATGGAGGGAAACAGAATGAATAAGAAAAAAATAAAAACGACTCAGAAATAAACCATTAGAGGCATATATGAAGTCAATTCCTTATCCAAATTTTACAAACTAACAACGTGCATGCCTATAAACAATGTCTATCCATAGCTCTGTACAGAGCAAATTATTTCCTAATTTTCAAGTATGCTACAAAAGCTCAGGAGATATAATGATTCGAATCATGAAAAAAAAAAATGCAACTGATGCCCAGACCTGAACCACTCTATCATCTTCAGCAGTACAATTTGGGATCAGACCTGCTCCCAATAATTGTATTTCAACACCAGATGCAGTACTAATATCTGAAGCAACTCTTCCACCTTCATCTACCAAGCATCCCAATTGATTTCTTTCAACCAAAATTCTTGCAGTCACATTCTCACCTTTAGCCATGCCAGGTATTAAGCCATGGTCAAGGGCAACTTCTACAGATCTGGTAAAAACGCGTATAATAGCAATCTGTGCAGGAGAGTATAACGGATTTTGGCTCTGCAAAGATTACGAAAATAACTTAGAAGAAACAGGAAATTTTGAGACATTGATGGCAGTAGCAAATATATAGCAGAAATTCAGTAAAATGGAAAACCTCCACTGAAGAGATAGTGGCAACACGCTCTCTCAATCCAGATACAAGAGATGAAAACTTTATACAAGCTCCAGTTTCTTTTTCCATAGATTTAACCATATTTGCACCTTTGCCAATCACGCCCCCAGCTGAAGCATTAGAACATAAGAGTCTAAACACCACATTCTTTAGGGTAATGTCCTCATCCAGGCTGAGCTTCAGTATAATACAAGAAGTTGGTGAAAATAAATAAACTTAGTCTTTCATCAAATCTTTGCATTAACTCAATAATAATTTACTCAATTTCGTCTACCACTCCAGCTATCATATTAATTATAGCAAGATGAACATATTTGAGTACCTCATCACCTATGTTGCTTCGACTTGAGTGCACGTGTCTAGGCACATAAATACATATCTAGGAGTCAGACTCCATTTTTTTTTTGGCTATTCTAGGCTATGCCGATGCAACAAAAAATGATCCAAAATTTAGAATTGGACAAGTGGTTTTACAAACATAAAATTTATATACTAACAGTTTTAAATGCATTCAATGGACTTGGTTTTCTTAAGATAGCAATTCATGCTTTGGAAATCACAATTGATTTTCTTAAAAGATGCAACCTAGGTGGCATTCATTGTTAGGTTCCACAGAGGAATATGGGTCACATTTAAGATGACCTATCAATTAATGTCACCTGGACACGTGTTTTGCACCTACATAGTATTAATCTTCTTTAAAATAGTCATTCATGCTTTAAAAGTCATAGAGCTTCAAAAACAAAAATTGATGCTTCAGAAGTCACAATTGATGCTTTGAAAATTGCTATTTTTGCTTTAAATTAAAAGTTGTGGGATCATGGCTTCCTTTCCAACAACCGTATCTTCCTTCAACTTTAACTTCCACCAATGGTGACTTTGCCATTGTCAATGAGATTGAATAAGATTACGATGATCGTCGAAAATTACGACTATTATAGATAGATTTTTTTTACCATTAATTAATATTGTAATTGATTACTTCCATATTTAGTTGTTATTTTGGTTCTATATAATGAGAGAACCTCTCACATAGAGGGGCATTGAGTCTTTTATTGAGTATATTTGACAGCCATACACTCTTCAAATATGAAGAATCTGAGCAGAATACCATAGCCGTACTCATGTCAACACATAATTCTTCCATTTTGGAGAGTTCGAGCATCTCAGATCCTCACTGAAAATAATATCTATTTTACTTTATCTGTAATGCTCAATATCTCCAAAATTGAAAAAGTATACTTTACTTTTTTTTTAATTAAAAATTTTAGAAAACGAATTCTTTTTTACCAGTACCGACATGAAAAGGAAATGGGTAATGCATCCAGTTTAAATCATTTGAATCTGAAGAGGATATGAAAAAAGGTTGTCACTATTCGTAGAAGTTGAAGTTGCACGAAGAGAAAAGTTATTGGAAATGAAACCCTAATTGCAATACCTAACCTACAACTTCCAACTTAAAGGATTAGAAGTGATTTATAGCATCAATTCCTACTTTTAAGAAAAATCTATTGCGATTTTCAAAGCTTCAATTGTTGTTTTGAATGAAACTTGATACCACAATTCGTAAAGCATTAGAAATGATCTAAAGCATCAATTGCTATTTTTAAGAAAACCAATTTCAATTTCCAAAGTGAAAATTGAGATTTGAAGCATCAATTATTGTTTTTAACGAAAACCAAGCTCATTAAATACATTTAAAACTATTGTATAATAAATTTCTAATAAGTTCTACGTTCATAAGGCGTATCCACCTATCCGTGTCCAAATTTTGGGTCCTTTGTTGCCACATATATCCTAGAATTTAGAAAGGCCATATTCATCTGGCATTATTTACCTTCCATTCTTAAGCCCAGAAGAAAAGGTTTGCAAGTTGTCAGCATCATCTTCAGGTCTTGTGACATTTCTTCTGATTTTAGCCTGTCATCATAGGACCACGTGAAAAATGATATTCTCAAATAGAGAATTTGATGTGTGAAGACTGAAGAAGATTGAGAATTATAAAGCTAAAACAGAAAGATCTTTGCGTTTTTTTTGTCGTAAACCTGTTGACAGAGGATGGCTTGACTTGTATACAAATCTAAGGTAATCTAGTTGATTAACAGAAGACGGTCTTGATAATTGTTCCGGTTGAGAAAGAGGAGTCCATTACCCTTCCTTTAGAACTGCTGCATGCTGTAGCTGAATCTGTCGAGTGTGTGCGTTCGGATCCATTGAAACCCATTCTGGGAAAGTAGTTCTCCCTAAGTCTGCCAGTAACTTGAAACAGGGCGCTTTTAACATTTTCATATTCGCCCATAATCTGTAGAAGGAAAAACCATTTTGAACTCAAAGGAGTAGTCGTTCAAGGTCAATGTATTTAAAAAGAAGAAACAAAACCAATAGATCTCCAACTGCCTAAAGAAGTCTATTGGACTCCTATTAACACCTAAAATCTAAATGATCATATCATGCCAACTCTCAATATGGATTGCTACCACTTCACTATGGAGCAACAGTTGATGTTTTGTTATCATATATTTTAAGAACAATAATGAAGGAAGAAAACTTAATACAAGCACTAAGATTTACAATCAATTAAAAGCAACTTCTTTTTTCTCTTAGAACAACTCATAGTAACTAATGTAGAAAAAGGATGCAAAGGTCAAACGGGTGCACAAACTGGAACAGAGGAAACATTTACTGCTTCTAGAATTATAAGACGAATGGAAACTTTTTCTAAACAAAATGGCAAGATATCAGTTAATCAATAACCTAAAGGAAGAACGCATGGATGGATTGATCTTTCCTTAAATGAGATTCAGTAAGATGGTCATGGTCAATATTTCAAAGCGTTTAAATTTTATCTCATAAAATTTGGCTTACTGAAAGTCTAAAAAAGAAGTGGGAGTTACAGCCGGTAAGAAGCTATATTTGATGCTCTGCTCTACTTTGATCAAATTAGTTCCAAGAAGCAGACTATCATGATGGATTTCAAAAGGGCTTGGTGAATTATACGAGCATGAAGGAAAACAAAGTGAATAAGAAAAAACAACAGTAAAACAACTCAGAAATAGCAGCATTAGAGGCATATATGAAGTCAATTCCTTCTCTAGTTTTTACAAACTAACAACTTGCATGTCTCTGAACAATGTCCATCCATAGCTCTGTATAGAAAAAAATATTTACTAATTTTTAATTGCCCGTTTGGCATGGATTTTGAAAAGAGAAAATGAGCTTTTGAGACCCAAACACAGATTTTGAACCCATTCTGCTAATTTTATGAAAGTGCTTATGATAGTTAGAAGAGCTTTTAAAGGAAACTAGTCCAATGTGGCTTCCTCTAAAAGCACTTTTGGAATAGGAGGCTCTTGCGAAAGTTAGTTTATAAACAAAAATTAAGGTAGCTTCCTCTGAAAGCTTTTCTACAGGAAGCAAAAGCAAAAGTAAAGTCATACCAAACAAGCCCTAAGTGTGCTACAAAAACTTAGGAGAGAGAATGATTTGAATCATGAAAAAAGAAAAAGGAAAAAAAGCTACCGATGCACAGACCTGAACCACTTTATCATCTTCAACAGTACAATTTGGGATAAGACCTGCTCCCAATAATTGTATTTCAACACCAGATGCAGCACTAATATCTGAAGCAACTCTTCCGCCTTCATCTACCAAGCATCCCACATGATTTCTTTCAACCAAAATTCTTGCAGTCACATTCTCACCTTTACCCATGCCAGGTATTAAGCCATGGTCAAGGGCAACTTCTGCAGATCTGGTAAAAACACGTATAATAGCCATCTGTGCAGGAGAGTATAACGGATTTGGGTTCTGCAAAGATTATGAAAATAACTTAGAAGAAACAGAAAATTTTGAGAGACATTGATGGCAGTAGCAAATATATAGCAGACATTCAGTAAAATGGAAAACCTCCACTGAAGAGATAGTGGCAACACGCTCTCTCAATCCAGATACAAGAGGTGAAAACTTTATATAAGCACCAGTTCCTTTTTCCAGAGATTTAACAATATTTGCATCCTTGCCAATCACGCCCCCAGCTGAAGCATTAGAACATAAGAGTCTAAACACCACATTCTTTAGGGTACTGTCTTCATCCAGGCTGAGCTTCAGCATAATACAAGTTGGTGAAAAACGAAAAAAAAATCAACCTCTTTCATCAAATCTTCACATTAACTAAATATTAATTTACTCAATTTCGTCTACCAACTCCAGCTATCACATTAAAAATATAGCAAGATGAACATATTTGAGTACATCATCACCAATGTTGCTTTGACTTGAGTGCACGTGTCTAGTCACACAAGTACATATCTAGGAGTTAGATTATTTTATTTATTTTTTTTGCTAAATTCTAGGGTGTGCTGACATGACAAGAAGGGATCCAAATTTAGAATTGGATAAGTGGTTTTACAAACATAAAAGTATATGCTAATAGTATTAGATTTTTTTCAAAATAGCAGTTCATGCTTTAGAAATCACAATTTAAGCTTTGGAAATCATAATTGATTTTCTTAAATGAGTAATGCCATGTAGCATTACTGGTGCAACCTAGGTGGCATTTTATTTTTTATTTTGGTTAAAGGAGGGTCGTACCTCCGAGATTTTATTAACCTAGGTGGCATTAATTGTTAGGTTCCATAGAGGAATATGGGACACATTTAAGATGACCTATCAATTAATACCACTTGGACACGTGTTTTGCACCTACATAGTATTAATCTTCTTAAAAATAGCCATTCATACTTTAAAAGTTGTGGAGCTTCAAAAACAAAAATTAACGCTTCAGAAGTCGCTATTGATACTTTGAAAATTGCTAGTTTTGCTTTAAATAAAAAGTTGTGAGGTCAGGTATTAGGGCTTCCTTTCCAACAACCATCATCTTCCCTTGACTTTAGCTTCCACCAATGGTGACTTTGCCACACACTCTTAAAATTTGAAGAATCTGAGCAAAATACCATAGCCGTACTCATGTCAACACATAATTCTTCCATTTGGAGAGTTCGGGCATCTCAGTTCCTCACTGAAAATAATATCTAGTTTAGTTTATCTGTAAAGCTCACTATCTCCAAAATTGATGAAGTACCAGTACCGACATGAAAAAAGAACGGGTAATGGATCCAATTTAAATCCTTCGAATCTGAAGAGGATACGACAACGGGTGGTCACCGTTGGTGGAAGTTGAAGTTGCACGAAGAGAACGGTTACTGGAAAGGAAACCCTAATTGCAATACGTAGCCTACAACTTTCAACTTAAAGAATTAAAGGTGATTTAAAGCATCAATTCCTACATTTAAGAAAATCTATTGCGATTTTCAAAGCTTCAATTGTTGTTTTGAATGAAACTTGTTCCCACAATTTGTAAAGCATTAGAAGTGATTTAAAGCATCAATTGCTGTTTTTAAGAAAACTAATTTCGATTTCCAAAGCGGAAATTGAGATTTTTGAAGCATCGATTATTGTTTTTAACGAAAACCTAGCTCATTAATTGCATTCAAAACTATAGTATATAAATTTTTAATAAATTTTATGTTCATAAGACGTATCCACCTACCCGTGTCCAAATTTTGGATCCTTTGTTGCCACACATATCCTCGAATTTATAATAAAAAAAAAGAATCTACATCTTATATATGTACCCGTATCCGATGCCCGCACTTGAGCCCAAGCAACATAGCAATTGATTTTTCCTACTAAATAAACAATCAAACTGAAACATTCAATATCCATCTGGCATTATTTACCTTTCATTCTTAAGCCAAGAAGAAAAAGTTTTCAAGTTTCCAGCATCATCTTCAGGTCTTGTGACATTTCTTCTGGTTTTAGCCTGTTATCATAGGACCACACGAAAAATGAATTCTCAAATAGAGAATTTGATGTGTGAAGAATGAAGATTGAGAATTATAAAGCTAAAACAAAAAGATCATTGTGTTGTTTTGTCATAAACCTGTTGACAGAGGATGGCTTGACTTAAAATCTAAGGTAATCTATTTGATTGACTGAAGACAGTCTTGATAATTGTTCCAGTTGAGGAGTCTATTACCGTTACATTAGAACTGCAGCATGCCATAGCTGAATCCGCCGAGTGCGTGCGTTCAGATCCATTGAAACCCATTCTGGGAAAGTAGTTATCCCGAAGTCTGCCAGTAACTTGAAACAGGGCGCTTTTAACATTTTCATATTCGCCCATAATCTGTAGAAGGAAAAACCATTGTAAACTCAAAGTAATAGTCGACCAAGGTCAATGTATTTAAAAATAGAAACAAAATCAACTTATCTCCAACTGCCTAAAGAAGTATATTGGATTTCTATTACCACCTATATTGGATTTCTATTACCACCTAAAATCTAAGTGAGATCAAATCATGCCAACTCTCAATACGGATTGCTACCACTTCCCTATGGAGCAGCAGTATATTTATCGTATATTTTAAGAACAATAATGAAGGAAGAAAACTTAATACAAACACTAAGGGTCCGTTTGATTGCAGGAGTGAAATTTGGGTGGAAATAAAATGAATTTCAAGAAATTGAATTGTCTAGAATTGTTTTCCTGAGAATTGTCAATTCATTGTGTTTGATTGGTATAATTTTCCACGTGGAAAATATTTAAATTTTGGATCTTTCGGTGTTCGTTTGACTTTGTTTTTATGGAAATTGTCCATTACAGAGAAATTTTTTTTGACAATTGGTGATAAAATTTGTGTCCATTGCCAAAAATAAAATAAAATAAAAAATAAAGTGACAACCATTTTCCCACATTTTCCCTCCTAAATGGTGGGGAAATGGTTTCCTTCATTTTGAGGAATTGGTGCCTGTGTGGGGCAATCATGGAATTAATTTTCCATGGAAAAAAACCTATCAAACAACCATTTCCATGGGTTTTCCATTTTCCATGGAAAAAATGGGATATCAAACATAGCCTAAGATTTACAATCAAATAAAACTTAAAAGTAACTTCTTTTTTCTCTTAATGCAACTCATAGTAACTAATGTTGCAAAATGATGCAAAGGTCAAAAGGGGTACACAAACTGGAACAGAGGAAACATTTACTGCTTCTAGAATTATAAGACGAATGGAAACTTTTTCTAAACAAAAATGGCAAGATATCATTTAATCAATAACCTAAAGGAAGAACGCACGGATGGATTGATCTTTCCTTAAATGAGATTCAGTAAGATGGTCATGGTCAATATTTCAAAGCTTTTAAATTTTAGCTTACTGAAAGTCGAAAAAAGAAGTGGGAGTTACAGCCAGCAAGAAGCTGTATTTGATGCTCTGCTCTACTTTGATCAAATTGGTTCCAAGAAGCAGACTATCTTGATGGATTTCAAAAAGGCTTGGTGAATTATACGAGCATGAAGGAAAACAAAATGAATAAGAAAAAATAACAATAAAACAACTCATAAATAGCAGCATTAGAGAAATATATGAAGTCAATTCCTCTAGTTTCTACAAACTAACAACGTGCATGTCTATGAACAATGTCCATCCATAGCTCTGAATAGAACAAATTATTTACTAATTTTTAAGCGTGCTACCAAAACCCAGGATATATAATGATTTGAATCATTTAAAAAAAAAAAAAACCAACTTATGTCCAGACCTGAACCACTTTATCATCTTCAACAGTACAATTTGGGATAAGAACTGCTCCCAATAATTGTATTTCAACACCAGATGCAGTACTAATATCTGAAGCAACTCTTCTGCCTTCATCTACCAAGCATCCCATTTGATTTCTTTCAACCAGAATTCTTGCAGTCACGTTCTCACCTTTACCCATGCCAGGTGTTAAGCCATGGTCAAGGGCAACTTGTACAGATCTGGTAAAAACATGTATAATAGCAATCTGTGCAGGGGAGTGTAACGGATTTGAGTTCTGCAAAGATCACAAAAATAGCTTAGAAGAAACGAGAAATTTTGAGAGACATTGATTGCATTAGCAAATATTTAGCAGAAATTCAGTATAATGGAAAACCTCCACTGAAGAGATAGTGGCAACACGCTCTCTCAATCCAGATACAAGAGGTGAAAACTTTATACAAGCCCCAGTTTCTTTTTCCAGAGATTTAACAATAGTTGCACCCTTGCCAATCACGCCCCCAGCTGAAGCATTAGAACATAAGAATCTAAACACCACTTTCTTTAGGGTATCGTCTTCATCCAGGCTAAGCTTTCTGTCAATACCTTCCGACAAAGAATGGCCAACAAGTTGATAATCAACAGCATTTCCAGAAAGTGCTAGTGAGTCCGAATTATTGTTAAGAACACTATATTTGAGCATATCATGTGAAACTCCCTGGGAAGACATCTGCCCAGGAGTTCGTTCCCCTAGTTTGCAATCTTGAAGACAACAGGAGACAGCAAGTAGTGCTTTCTTTACGGACACAACCCCACCCATTATCTGCATGCTATTAACCAATCCTTAGTAGCCAAAGAAACAGAAAACCATGTTGAGTGTGCACACATATGCATGTCATAAATATATGTATATATGAAAACGAAGTAAAAATACTCCGCATGTTTCTATGGAAGTTAGAACATATAAGCGCCAATGTAGACACGCTTTTGAGCTCCATCTTGCCACTTCAGAAGCCTTGCCCTTTTATACAATGTTTGATTATGGTCCAATAATTTTGAATCATTAGCTGGCAGCTTTATCGATCATAATGGTCAAGGGTCCTTTTACAAACCAAGTATATAAATGGATCTAAATCTGTCCTATTCTGTTAAGAGCTCTCTTATTTAGAAGCTCTATTAGTGTCACTTTCTTTTGAAAAGATCGATTTACGGAAATCTCCAGGACTATTATAAAGACACCCTTGAAATTTCCGGAATTACAGAAACCTCCCTAGATGTTTATTTTCAATAACCGATTCCCCCTATACTTAAATATAAATATATACTTCCTATTTTTCCTTGTGCTTTAAACTAAATTTAAACATTTTAGTATATACTTAAACTCATTTTTCCTTTTTTTCTTTTTTCCTCTATTTTAATTATAAGGTATTGCTTCTAATTAACTAAATCGTATTTATACATTTTTATGACAATGTTTTAAAAAACGATAATTTTTATAATTTATTTATTAAAAATTTAGATAATTTTGCAAGTAAGATTAATAATAACTTATTTGTTTGATTGGAATCATATTTTTAGATCCTAGCAGTTAAATAATATTTTATTATTTTCCTTTTTCTGCTATGAAGTATTGAACCTTGTTCTATTATTTAGGTACAGAAAAGATTGGCAAAGTTAGGTTAACAATTTATAGTTTTTTTGTTTTATACTCATAATACTTATACAAGGTCAGATTTAGAAAATAACATATTATTATCAAATTTATTTAATATTTTAAAATAAAAGTGTCATATTTGACTGGGGGGGCACTTCAAACTAAAAAAATATTCTTGACTATATTTAAAATAATTAAAAAGAAAGTTATCAATTTTGCATAGAGACAAGAGGGCAAAATGTGAAGAGTGTATTTATTTTATTTATAAAGAAAGTTTCCGTAATTTTGATAAGGTAGCGGAAGTCTCTATAATAATCAGGAACCTCAAAGGAGGTTTTTGTTATTTGCTCTTTTGAAAATCTACAGCACAAATTTAAATTCATATTCCAAATCATTGGAGTTGGTATTTAGAAAATACTAACTATGCCTTATTTCTAATTAACATTTATCATGTAATTCATGTTTCATTTATCTCTATTCTCCAAAACCAAAACCAAAACCAAAACCAAAACCAAAACCAAAACCAAAACCAAATTCCAACACTTGACAAATATGAGAAGCTTGCATCTCTACTCCCTCTAAATGGAAATATATTTAAAAAAATTTCCAAGGAAAAAAGAGAAATATATATATAAAAAAAATTCACGTGCTCTATTTCTCTTCCTGTTTTCCACAAATAGACATTAGTCATGATCACGTGATTCTCTACTTACAGTTAATAGGAGCTATCAATTTGAGTAGACGTTGTTTTGGATTGCACTAAATAAATGGCATACTAGTTGAAGAGCATTTGGGTAGTTGAAAGAGGCAAGGCACCAAAGACTGAGGCAATGTGTTACATGTATGGATACGTTAACATAACATGGCCACTAGAGCATTGGAGGAGCCTTAGTATTAGAAGTTCAACTTATGGCATCACAAAGTTCAATACGCTCCATCTGTTTGTCCAGTGGTTTATTCTCCAACATCTCTATCACTCAAACACTGTTATTTTATTCTGCATATTTGTTACACTTGTACGTTTAAAAATTTTTGCTTTACCTTGATTTTTACAATATGGAGTTTGTTTATCTTTTTGTGATATGAGTTTTGCTTATCATATTTAGTTGTTCAGTTAAGCTTAAAGCTAGATAAGTTCTACTGTGTACACAGACAATGAAACTTATGTTGGTGTATTTCTGGCATGAGTTGATGAAATCAGAAACAGAAAAAAACATAGTCTTTATGTTTCTTTTATCAGGACAGGGATAGGGCGTGCCTTGTCATTATTAAGGTCTTTAGTAAATGAATTAAGATAGCATGGACAAGTATGCGAAATATGGAAGATAAATGAGAAGGAATTACACCTCTTTTATGCCACTGGGTAACAATGAATAACATCATGTTTCTAGGATACCTGTGCATGGTCCTATCCTTGTATGCATACTGATACCATCTTAGTTCAAAAATCGAAATCTTCTCGGCATATAATATTACATTTTGTTGTGAAGTAAGCTACTCAGTTCTTTTATATATCTCAACTATAATTCTATTTGTATAAAAATTTACCACCTTCATGGGCATTCTTATATGAAACTAAACTTAATGTTAATTTAGGCATCACTTCCGAAAAACATATTATCCCAATATAGGTGCTTAAACTTTCTAATATTGTAGAATAATTACGGAAGAATTATCCATCCTCGTTCAGTCTTTCTCTAGTCATACATTCAACTAAGTAACAGGGTTCCATAGTAGTTCTCAGTCTTTTAGAAGGCATCATGCCCATGAGCATGCATGGTCATCGGACGCACAATTCTAGGAAAATACAGGGCACAACAAGGCCACTAAATGTTCATTAGAGATGCATAGAACACCAGAAACTAAGACCTTATTCCCAATAAACTTGAAGTAAACTTTAGAACATAGATTTAACTTTGCAATGACAACTATCTACAATGCTCTATACCATATATTAAGAAAACATGTACTACAACGCATAATGTTTCCATATTCAACAAAAAGATAAACATGACAAGTCAAATCAACAATGCTGACAAACATAACTTGTTCAATAATTAAATTTCCAATGTTAGTATAAATATAATGTTTTCAATCTCATATGATTTATCTACTCTGTATTTGTCATGCATGATATATTTATCAGACTTGTCACATGAGCGTCTCATAGTTTTTCCCTTGTACAAGTTAGAGAGGGGGCAGAATCGAGTTTAATTTTCCACTTTCCATTTCTTTCAAAATGCTGAACTCGTCATTTCCCTTTCTTCTCGCGTAAATACAAAACACCCATACTACAAGTTTATTGATTGTATAAATTAATCAAGAGTCATAGAAACCACAAGATATTAAATCCGAATGCACAGTCAATAATAATATAAAAAAACTCGAGAAACTACAAAGATCACCTGAATCACTGCCTCTTTGGGTTCTGCACAAGCCGGAATCTGCTCTTTCAAAATCGAGATCTTTGCCCCGGAATTATTCTTGATCCCATTCACAATCTTCCCTCCCTTCCCCAAAACCGCCCCTATTTGACCCGCGGCAGCCAATAATCGACACCCTATCAACCCTTTACTATTGCTATTAATGTCATCATTTTCATTTTCTCCACCCCCTTGAACCTCCAAAATCCTCTCAAAAACCCTTATCAAACCCTCCTGTGCTTTTGACACCTCCACCTCCACCATTTCCTTGTCTTCATTTCCACCGTTCTTTAAGCTGCCTATAATCGATATCTTCTTCTTGACTGTAGCATCACCCACAATGTTGATCACGCGCTCGTGGCAGTTAGGAAGGCCCTTTTCTATCCGAATTTTCACCCCAGAAAGTGCCTCGAGTCGCTTAATGATAGAGCCAGAGCTCCCAATGACACCTCCAGCGGTGTGGAGGCGGCAGAGCAGGCGGAACGCCGCCTGTCCCGGCTGGAGGGGAACCGGTGGATCCGAATCCTGCTTCGCGCCACTGCGCATCGAGGTGCTGCAGTGATGAAAATCCTGATTGTTTAACTGGTGGGATGTTTCAGGCTTGATGACTTTGTGAGGGAGCATAGACAAAAAAGAGCTTTCTTCCATTTCTAGGGAAGTTTAAAACTCTCCCACGCCCAGCTTTTTCTCTGTATGAGCTTCCACACGGCGGCCGAGGTGAGAGAAACCGCTAGGAGGTGTCATGCGGGGTGCGCTTTTATCGATTGATTTGGTGGAGTGTTCAATTTTTGGGGAATTAGTTCTCGTAGCCGCCCCTCAATGGCGAATTAGTTCTGATAGCCACCTCTCAATCTCCATCTGTGTAGGAGGCCTTTCACCAAATTCGCTGGAAAAATAAAATTTAAGTATTTAAAAGTGTGAAAAAGACTATTTTAACTTTTTTTGTAAAACCAAATTGAAGAATAAATTCGGCCTCTCACTCACGTCAAAAATCAGATTCTTCCCCAAATGACATTTTGAATGTATTTGAACCACATTATTTTGAAAAAATGTATTTTTAAATAGTAAATTGATAGAGAATATATGATTAGAAAAAAGGATAAACTATTGATATGATGTGAAATATTATTTTATTGAAAAATGTGTGGAATGAGTAGAAGAATGAGAATATGAATTTTATAGCTTGTTTGTTTCCGATTAAAATCCAATTAAAATTGAAAATATGACCGTTATTGCCTACTCGTCTAATAAAAGTCAACAATAACAACTGATTTTTCAATTATAATTCGATTTTAATTTCTACCGAACACGTCCTTAATGTGGCTCAAACAGGAGCTTAAAAACCTTATTTTCCTCTAAATTTTCAAAAATTGTTTTTTCCTTCAAATTCTCAAAACTATTCTTTCCCAAATTAAAATTTTAGACAATCAAAAGTCAAAACTCTCTACCTCTTTTTCTTACCTTTGAGATTCGTCTTTCAATCTCTTTGTCCATCTCTGTTTTCTCAACTTTGAGACTCGTTGGACCACCTTAAGGTAATGTCTCTCGAGCGCTTGAATCTATATTGTGTTTGCTTGTGGAATAAGTTTAAAAAATGAGGTTTTATCAATCATTCTATTTTTGAATGCCTAGACCTGAATTCGAATGGTGTGAACTTTGTGTTTCTGGATTTCAATCCAAAAGTTGGCTGGAATAATTTTTTATAACTTTTAACTTATGAAAACATAACATTTCTTGTAGATAAGGCTATTTCAAGTAACAAACAGACCAACACTTCTAAATGCAATTGATGTGTGTGTTCGAAAAGAACAAATTCTCGAGATAGAATTTTGTATACATTCTAAAATATAATAAAAATTACAGAAAAAACTATTGGTGAATTCTTTACTCCAATGACTACTCTAGGATACCTTAAATTCCATGAAATTCAAGTAAATATGACTACTTGATTTTCCACATGTTTGAAAGATACTGGATAATCCATAAGTTCAGCGCTTAAGAAATATACTACATTAACAATTTCAAGAACTGGATTGATTTTATATTTTTTTGAAGTTACAGATGATAATCTCTATTTATTGTCAAAATGATTGTGATTATATGATTCCTTCGAACTGTTATAATATGTGCAACTTGGATTGATTTGATTGTTAATTTCCCTAACTGATCAAATTGAAACTCGACTAACATGATGCTTTTAATATTATTTCCTTCATTTTGTCGATAGTTAAACATGATGTGCTTATCTATGAGAACATTGATGCTATCTCATTTAAAACACGCATTAATCTCAAGTTAGGCTTTAGCTAGCTTCTTTTGTTTTCTAGAGGCAATCTCTTAATCGAACTCTCAGTTAGATTTATTGTATCACCTTTTTTTCTAGTTTTTTACAAGTGTTTGCAATCTGTACAGAATTTATTTCTTCTTATTAGAAATCTGTATGCTTAAATTGTTTATATAGCTTATGCATCTTGTTCGTATGTGCTTTACTATCATCAGTTGTTCTAATATTTGTACATGTTTTATAATTTGCAGTGCTATGGAAAAAATTCAAGTTGACGCTACAATTACAACAAGATGTAAACTGCAGGTAGTACAAGATGTTTATGAGAAGCTAGATACAAATTGCAAAAACAAGCTCCGTGAGAGCTGCTTCGGATCTCTTCTTAGATTGCGGAATATAAAGTTGGCTTCATAGGTTTTACATCAATTATTATTGCGAAAGATAGAGACCAACAAAAAAGAAAGAGTATGATTTAAGATAGGAGACAAACGAGTAAGATTTAGATTTGAAGAATTTGTTTTACTGACGGGCTTAAATGCGGGTGATGATAACAATATAGACAAGACTTTGGGGGTGGAGTGTCGGATTGTGAAAGAATATTTTAAGAAAATTGTGGGGAAGATTACGAATGGAGATGTTTACAACGCATTTGTATGTTGCAAGAAAAGAAAAGGCGACAGTGTAAGTTGGAATTGATCGTAATCTTGGCGTACGTCCTGTGGGCCACGAAGGAAAACACCTACATCGATTTATGATAGCTAGACTTGGTGGATGATCTGGACAAGTTCGAGAAGTATCCACGGGAAAGGTTTTCATTTGAATACATGATAAATGTATTCAAACGTGAAATAAGAGGTAAATTAAAAAATTCGAATGTCAGATGAAAGTCACATTTTCAGTATTCGTTGCACGACTTTCCCCTCGCTATAATGGTATGAACAAATGATACACTTGACTTGTAGTATTTTTTATATATAAATTTGTGTCATGAAATAATAATGTTTGTTTTACAATAGATTTGGGCATTCAAAGCGATTCCAGCTTTGGGAGTGAAGTTTGCTACGAAGTATTTGGATACAATTCCAAGAATGGTCGCTTGGGAAATGCCTAAAAGGTTACCGTCTGCCGCCATTGATAACGTGTTGAAATCGAAAGAGGTAAATTGCTTTTTTTAAGTGTAATGGAACAAATTGTGAAATTAGCTTAGCCAATGACTAATGATTTGCACGATTTAATATTTGCAGTTGGAGGTTAATTCTACATTGATTCCCACTGAAGCTGAACTCGATGAGGTCTATTGGAAAGACTTGACACCGATTGTGGGAGAAGATGAGAGTGCTTCAAACCATTTCAAAGGAGATGAGGCTGAGCATGATATTGAGCCACATCATGCATTCTACTAACACTTTCCCATAGCATCTCAACCACCACCGGTATCTCATGAGATCAACATAACGGATTTATTTAGAACGAAAATGGAAAACCTTGAAGGAAGTCCACTAGTGTATTTGATGGTGCCACTAGTAGCACAGCTTATGTATTAGAATATGAACCGAATGATGGGTTGGAAAATGAGGCTGGATTTGATGATGTAACGAATGTGCCTACATTTGAAAGAAAGGTGAAAGAGTTTGAGAATGACCCAAACTTAGAAGAAGAGGTTAAAGGAAAGAATGTAGGAGAGAATTGAGCTGAGGTTGGATATGGTGATGATATGGAGAAGCAAAAAAGGAAAAAAAAAAAAAATGGTCGAAGAAGGTGTTAGAAGAAACAGTGGTAGGGGAGGAGCATCCCGATGTAGAGAAATGCATGTAAAAATAATTTGATGTTCAGCTTCATGTTATTAACTCCAAATTAAACAAAGTTTACATTTCTAATTGTTGATACTTGCAACATATAGGTGATAGTGTGCAGATCGAAGAGATATGATTTAATTTGCCGAAAGGACGAGGGTATCGTCCAAAGAGAAAAGCACACTTATTGTGTTCTCATTTCACGAACTTGACAAAGAGGAAAAAGTTATCAGACATCGATGTATATGATCCTTATCAAAAAGTGGATCCCCTGAAGGTTGAGGCTCTTTACAAATGGATAGAAACTATATCTTCTGGGGAAATTATTACACATAGTTGCAAGTACATGTGAAAGTAATGATATTATTACATAAATATAACTTTGTGTCGATTTTGTTTTATGTGCAGTGAAGTTATACCTTTGCGCTTTTATGATGTTCAAGCAAAAAAATTGATCGACCTTTTGAATAAGGATGGTTGGATTACTGGCAATATAAGTAATACAACTTTAATGATTTTATGATAATGTTACACAAGAATTTACTTTGTATTAATTAGTTTCTTTGTGCAGATTATGAACGAGGCCTTATACCAGATACAAGAAAGGGTTTTCAAATTTTCCAATTTATTTCGAATAAATTGTTACATATTGGATATTTTCTTCTATCAATTTGTTGTCAATGCACATGATCAGTTGTAACCGAGTAAAGAGCTCAATTTTAGTAAGAGTTTGATCAATTAATTGAGAGGGGCTACTTTGGAGCTCGGTAAACCTTAGAAGGATTGGATATATTTGTATATTTCTTACTGTACCGGCAACCATTGGTTCGCAGTTCAAATCGACTTGGAGAAACAAACAATTTTTATGGTCGATCATCTGAAGGGTCACATTCGTAGGGGAGCGTTGGAAGCTTACATTTTGACTCTACATGAGGTTATTCCATTACCGATAAAATTCTATGTCACAAGTGAAGACAAATATAGCAAGGAGAAATTCAAATTTGTGAAAGTGGTAGATGTTCCCTAACAATTGAATGGATAAGATTGACTAATTTCATAATTGGAAGTACTATATTATTTAACTGTTGATAATTAATATAATAACTGCACAACTATTTTGTAGATCTAACTGTGTGATATTCACACTGAAATACATAGAATTTCTGCAAGTGAATATGGATGTAAATGCAATTCGATTGGATTATGTACCAATATGGCAGAAGAAATTGGCTACATAGTTGTTGGCATTGGACTTCGAGCTCTAGATTATGTTTTGCTATATTTATTAATATTTTGATAACATTTTGTTGTTACTTTGTTCTTTTTGATGGAATAGTTGATATTCTTATAGATGTCGATATTTTCTAGGATGTTGCATAACTACTAGTTAGTGCATTTGCAATTGTAATGCTTATGGATATTGAATATAATTGAAATTTACATATTTTTGTGCCATTTTATATCTTTCAGGTTTACATATTGTATATGTCCAGAATGTTGATATAATACATATTCACGTAACGTTATGAACTCCGTTTCTATGAAACAAAATATTTAATGTCGTTCTAGTA